ACACTGCCAAGATGATTTTTTGTAGAATTACATCAAAATGTATATTCTCTTTTTAGTCCAATCACGCCAGTTTTAGATCGTGTTTTTCCATATTCCTTTTACATAGAGTTATGTATATCTTTTATAGCTCTGATTTTCCTATGTCTATGTTTATCATCTTAGGTATCTCGCCTCTCTAATTCTAGTCTGTGTATTGTTCAATGGGTACCTTTCTCAAATTCTTATATTTATTTTCTCTCCATCTTTGTTGCCATACTTACCTATACTTGTGCTTTGTAGTTTTTTTGTTCTACTCAAACGGTAGAATAATCACATTCAAATTCAGTTACTTTATTTATATTGAAAGGTAACTTAGTTTGATGCCAAGTATCCTAAAAGAGCTGATTTAGGTTCGGGCTCTTCTTACTTTAACTGTGTAATTGAAAAAAAAATTTCACATACTTGAGTTTAATCTTCTTAATTATAAAAGAGAGAAAATTTATTTCTTGTAAATAGGATATGATACAATGAAGGGGTACCAAATAGTGATGTGTTCTTGGAAAAATCAGAATTTCCATATCTGTTATAAAACAACTTTTAGTGAATGAAGTCAGAGTTGGTGTCCAGAGAAATGCAAAATAGGTTGTCCAGTGTTTCTAGATATTTTGGTAACAACTTTGGAATTTCTTCTCCTATTTACTCAGTTATACTCTTTTGTTTCACAGATCACATTCTGTAGTCATCCTATATTCATCTTCCCTGTAGGTTTATCACATAAGTGCACATAAGAAAACTTTTATGGTACACCAAATTTTTTTGATAGAGAGATTATTATTGAGTTAGCCAGGGTTCTCTAGAGGAACAGAACTTATACACAAGAGGCAATTTAATTGTTGGCTTATACTGCCTTAGGCTAGATAATCCCAAATGGCTATCTGCAGACTGGAGAGCTGGGAAAACCGGTAGCTGCTCAGTTCAAGAAACTGGAAGTGTCAGAATAAGGGGACCAATGATGCAGCCTCAGTGCAAGACTGAAGTCCTGGAAGCTCCCTGGAGAGTCACTGGATCTAGTATGTCTTAAAAGGCTGAACAATCTGCAGTCTGATGTCTGCAGATGATGGCAGAAGCAAAAATTACAAATGTTTAAGAAGAATTGAGTTTGCATGCACCAGCAAATCCCATCACCACTTGTGCTCTTTGTTCCATCTGGGCCCCCAGCCTATTGGGTGGTGCTACCCACATGTAGGGCAGGTCTCCCCGCTAAACACAGCCCCAGTTTGCTGACCCATATGCTAATCATCTCTGGAAAACACCATTACAGATACACCCAGAAGATGCTTTGCCAATTTTCTAGGTGGTCTCTCAATTCAGCCAAGTTGACAACCAAGATTAACCACCACAGTTACTGAATAATGGAAGCAATTTTTTTTTTCTTTTGAATGCCAAAACCCAGTGGAAATTTGTGCTCTATGTGAATGATTAGCAGAAATGTAGAGAAACTCATCGAAGGTATTAATTTGTCTTTAGGTAGAATATAAATCATGTATTCCCTTTGAAAAGTATTCTGTGTGGCTATGTTATTGAAGAAATAATAGCTACATGACCTAATATGGGATTGAAGGTTGAATTTAGATGCATTTTCCTTGAATAATAGTCATTAAGAATTGTCAATGTGCACACATGTAAGCCCATGTGTGTTTGAAAGGAAAGAGCAAACTACAGAAAACCAAGGAAGTTAGAGTGAATTAAACATTTTTAATCAATTAAAATCTGTTTAAAATCACATTTATCAATAATTTTATCAGTAAGAGTTATTCTGGAAATCTACTCAGAAAACCTCTTTGAGTCTTCAGCAGCAGATATCTGCAAGAGGTGATTTTCTTTCTTGGCTGCCACTATTTATCAGCAGTAGATGTGACCTCTTTGTAAGGGCTGGTAAGGAAGAAATCATAGTATCTATATAAAAGGCTGCATTGAAAAAACCTTCCAGTATTTCCATTACTTGGCCATAAGTTTCCATGGAAGTGGGCTCACCATCATCAGCAGGAGTCCATTTCAGCTGCTGGCTTCTGGTTTTTGTTTCTTTGTTACCATGGATACTATCTAGAAAGTGGCAGAAGAGTCAGAAGTTTAAAAAACAGCATTTGATTACAAAATATGATTAAAACCATATTCTGTTTCTTGTCATTTTTAAATTTCAAGTTATTTTGTGAGATGAGTTTATTAATTTGAATAGAGCCAAATTTTGAGGCTGTGGACACACTGAATTAAAAAAACGAAAGTGTCACAGTTTCTATTGCAATTGACCCTAAGGGGAGCCCCAAATTTCAAATTAGGGTTTATTAGGGCTTAAAATGTGTAACCTGAAATGTGAAGAGCTAAGGATACTGGCAATAACAGAGTCCAAAACAATAAGCCATAAAAAAGGACTAGCAGCGTGTAGAAATAATGAATAGCTGTTATTCATGTGGGACGTTGTATCTTCAAAGTGTGTCACATTTATTTAGGTTGATGTCCATGGTTTGTACCCATGTTTTCAACTTGAGTGGGAAACCTTGGGCGTAGGAAGTAAGGACATTTTAAGGACAGAAGCATACTGACATTTTAATTGCTGTTTGAGGAGTTGGAGAGTTAACAAATATAGATTGTTCCACATTTAAAAAAGAAATAGAGATCCCTCTCTCTGGAAGACCAGTTGTATTTATGAATTACTCATGAAGGAGAGAAGAGGTAGAATGATAATGTAAAAGATATAAAAGGAAAGTTATTTAGCAAAATTGCAATCTCAACTTCATTACAGTTTTTCTTTGAGGTCTGTATTCCATGAGAATTCTTTGGTTAGCATGTGCCAGCACCCCCATTTGGACTACTTTATGCAAAGAAAGACAGGAATATAGATTCACCTGGAATCAGGGACCCTGGTTACACTAGGGTTTCTTTTTGCTTTTTGGTTTTCCATATCATCTTTCCTCTGTATCAGGTTCTTCCTTTCAGATCTTTTGCTTTGGCAGGAATTGTGGCTGCTGGTGCTTCCCAGTCCTCTTCCCTATAGCTTCAAAAACAGAGAAGGTCCAGTTTGTATTGGGCCATTTTTTTCTTCTCCAGCTGTGGCCTGTTGAGTAAGGCTCTATGCAGCTTGGCACAGGGAAGCCCACCCCGACCTAAGTAGACAGAGCTTTGTAGCTAGAGGAACTGAGATCTGACATAGAACAGTTTTCCTTCAAACCACTTGGAGATAGGGAAAGACTAGGAAAGTCTGAAGAGAGAAAGGGGCATTTCCTAGAAAAGCAGAAGATGCCGTTCCAGGCAGAAATAAATAGAGGTTTTCCACTGGTGGTCTTCTAAGGAAAAAATATTTGCTTTACTATAATCCATTTATCTTCAATTTAGAAATTCAGGAAATACCATTTTGTAGGATTTAGTTTTGAGGAAAAAACCAGCATTTAAAAACTTTACAATTAGTGCTTCCTATATGAATGGCTCGGTTGTAATTCCATGTATATATGTTTTCTCTTTCACTTTCCATGATCATTAGAAGTATATACTTCCATTTTAGGGCATGAGGAAGGGGATCAGAGATTGAGATGACTTGCCATATGACCCATGAGAAGCAGAACCAGAATTTAGATAACTCATCAGAGTTTCTAGAATGTAATGTAAGGCATTTTCCTCTACAGGATACTTTCTTTTTGGTTAACTTCATTAAGAAGATGCATAGAATGAATTATGATAATAGTACCATATGTTAAGTGCTTTGATCAAAATGAGTCATGAATCACTTAGAATACTACAAAATAATATTTATGAAAGGAACCCTTAAAGATCATATGATACACTGGTTTTCAAACTTTTTGACTTTCAGCCATGGGATCCATGTTAGTAAATTTTATATCATCATAACAATCAACTTGAAAAGAGAAAATATTTGTCTCAGTTTTGAAGGTTTTAGCTTTGATTGAATGGCCTCATTGTTTGGGCCTGTGGTGAGGCAACTTATCGAGGTGGGAGAATGTGGCAGTGCAGAACTGCTCATCTCATGGCCAGGAAGCAAAAGAGAGGAAAGAGCAACAAATGAAGGGTCCTGCACTCACCATGGGAGCACACCTTCAATGAGTTGTAGACCCCTGACTAAACTCTACCTCTTATAGATCCCACCACTTCTTCCTAGTAGCACCATGCTAGTGACCATGTTTAACAAAACAGGGACCTTTTCGGGGAGAGTTAAGGTCCAAACTACAGCAGAATCCCTTCTTCAAATGAAATGCTATATCTTAGTCAATCATATGAAATGGGTAAAATCATCCCATTCTGGAGAGAGGCCAGTACTTCAAAGTTTTAACCACTTCTTTTGAAGTCTTGAGAGTTCTTTGGAGGTTATTTTGAATACCCTTTATTTAGGGAAGCTGAGACCCAAATAGGGTCAGTGATGTACTCAGTTTCACATAATTTTATGTTATAGGAATTTCAATCACATTCCTGTTTTCAGTTACAAAGATGCACAAAAATTTTTTACTGGTTGAAAAAAACCATGAAGCTTACAAATCGATTAGTTAGAATTTAGAAATGCTCTCAGTGATTTTATTTTCCAGTTTGGTGGTACTTTTATGTAGCTCATGGCATAGCAATTCTATGTCACACTCTTATTAAATATCTATTTCTTTTGGTCTTATTTTTGAGTTGAGCTATATATTGTCTGGATTTGGATTAGGGCTAGTCTTGGCTACGTTTTTTTTTTTTTATATATATGTTTGACTTCTAAAATACATTAAGTTCTCAATTCATACTTAAATAGGAGGGTGTCAAATTTTGCATACATGAAACTCATGAGGGTAATACTTAGATCTTATTGAAATGAATGACTTTCATGTGTTTTTGAATTTTGAGTATCTCTTCTTCACGGTTAGAAATGTAAACAGGCTTGGATGAAATGTAAAATGTCTTGGGTGGAAAGAAGTTAATTTTCATATTGGGATGAAAAAAGTTTATTTTTCACAAGACCAGACTTTTGTTGTCTCCCTTAGGAGAGTCAAGCCCTACTCGCCGAGAAGCTGTGAAGAGAAGAACAGCGGAGTATCTCATGAGGGCAGAAAGTATCTCCAGCCTTTATGGAAAGCCGCAGCTGGATGATGCATCTCAGGTATATCTCATGTTTTATTTTGCATTTTCTTTAACCATTATTTTTTGATGTCTTTTCTTTCAGCTTCATTTTTTAAAAAATATTTTTTAGTTGTCAATCTTATTTATTATTTGTGGTGCTGAGGATCGAACCCAATGTCTCATATGTATGTGCTAGGTAAGTGCTCTACCATTGAACCACAACCCTAGCCCCTCAGCTTTATTTTTAATTAGAATATTTGAGAACTTTGGTTTCTGGAATTTTATTAATAATTTTCTTAAGTTAATGTTGAAAGAAAAAGCATTATAGCAAAAGTAGAACCAAACAGGACTTGTTTTCTCCGCCCTTCATTAGTCCTTAATGGTACCCTAAATTTCCCCAGCTGTAAAATGACAGCAATTCATACTATATTTAAACTTCTTAAAGTTAAATTATGATTTTTGTACAGTTCCTGTACAGTTTTATTGATTCATGGTAAAACTGTCACTTTATTCACAAGTCCTATGAGAATCTGCTATAGTTCACAGATGTAGTCATTCTAGAAGCAATATTTAGATTATTTGGGACTACTAGTAGGCTTGTCTGTAAGGCAGATAAATGCTTAAAACATTAGAAATGTGGTTTATTATTGATTTTTATCTCTTATCTACTTGGACTTCAACAATTTCTGGAAGAAACTTTTCTGTATGCTTTTTCTTTATATCAAACTAAATTTTTCTAATGCAAATTAAGGATTATATTTTCTGGTGGGATGCTGTAGTGAACATCTATAATCGTAGCAGCTAGGGAGACTGAGGCAGAAGCATCATAAATTTGATTCAGTCTGTGTAACTTAGTGACAGCCTGTCTCAAAAAAAAAAAAAAAAAGTAAGAAAGGGCTGGGAATGTTGTTCAGTGGTAGAGCACCTCTGGGTTCAATTCCTAATATCACCTTAAAAAAAAAAAGAAGAAAGAAAGAAAATTCTGGAGAAGGGAAAAGTGTTTAGTTTATTATAATATTTTAATCGATCCAAGGGGCAGGTAACCTTGTTCATATACAGTTCTACCACTTGAGTCAATGCAAGATGGCATCAGTTTCTGTATCTGAATAATGAGGGTAGTAATTATTCCTTGCTGGGTTGTTATTAGGATTAAATGAAGTTTAAAAAAAAATACTTCTGTACATGGATGTACCTCCCTAACCCATCCACCTACAATTTAGATAAGCTTTGTGCCTACCTAGCATAAAGACCAGATATAATCCAGATTAGCTTAATAAATTTTAGCCCCATTCTTAATATCTGCTTCATACACTGCTTTTGTATACTGTTTTCCACACACTTTAGTTTTATATAGTTTTTAAAAATTATAAAATGTCTCAAAAACATTTTTCTTTGGTGGTGCTGGGGATAGAAAAATGTCTATTTTTTTTAGTTTAAGAATAGCCCAATATTTAACCTTGATTCATTGGACCATTGTTGTTTTTTGTTGCTGATTTTTTGAGCCATTTTTATTTCCTGTAAGATTTTTTTTTAAAGTGCCATTATCACTATAGATGGAAAAAGTACAGTTGCTAAAATTGTACTTATTAGTGTAAGATATTATATTGAGAATTTTTAATGGTGTTTGACTATTCATTATAAAACAAAAAGATTACATCCAAGCTAAAGTAATATATTTGTTACCCTAACATAATAATTGCATATTAAATATTGTTATCTATTTTGCTGATTCATTTTCAGCTTTTGAACTATTGTGACTCTTCTATGTTCTACTTGTTAATTTTTTCCTATTCTTTATTATTGTAGTCTTAATGATATTATTAAGTTTATATCCTTTAACTTTTCACTATTGAATTTTATTTTTTAAATTAAATATTCATTGAAACATTAATTGAATTTAATTCCCTTTTTTCCATGGGGTTGGTGGCCCTCCTTGTTTGCAGTCCTGATATATACATTCTTGACTTTATTTTGTAGGGCATTGATAAAAACATTAAATAACATGAGTCTATAAACTTATTTGTTATATACTAACCCCATCTTGTATATAATATTCTTAAACATTGTATAAACTCCCTTAACATTAACTGTGAATTTTCTACATATACTTATTCATTCAATATCTTTGCCTATGCATCCTTGTTTCCCACTGTCACTTCTATGGAGCCATAATTTCCTGGGCAAATAAATATATAAAGTCTTCTTACAGTTTGACTTAGAGAACAGGACCATCAAGTATATTAGTCAGAATTTCCCGTAAGGGGGCAGGGATTGTGGCTTAGTTGTAGAATGCATGTGTGAGGCCCTGAGTTCAATTTTCAGCACTACATATAAATAAATAAAATAAAGGTCCATTGACCACTTAAAAAAATAAATAAATGAAAAAGAGTTTTTCTGTAAGCATAACTTCTAAGGAAAATAAAGTTAAGGAGATCTAATATAGGATAGCTGATTATATGAGGTTGTATATTAATTCATTAAGCATCTTTTAGACTTTCTGTGCACATCAATCTAGATATACTTTGGAACTATACATAGTGTTTGCTCTTGCAAACCTTATAGCATAATTGAAGACATAAATATGTCTAGTTAAAACAAAAGTTAGATGGCAAGAGTCATGTAGAATCATGGGAAATTGTTTCAGAAAAGATAAAAGGGAGCACCTACTCAATGTGATCTTGTGTGTAGGTTTTTTTTTTTTTTTAATTTCTTAGGCAAGGATGCTACTGGAGAGTAAGTGTGGTATTTTTTCTTTTATGGTAAGCTTTTGCTTTTATTCTCTCTTTTGTATATTATTCTGTTAAGCCTGGCCCTATTGGTCAAAAACATGCTTGATTATTTTCTTATCTGTGATTTAAGTTACATGAATTCCAGAGGTTCATGATTAGCTTGGTGAATTCATGATTTCTTCTTCTTTTACTTTTCTTTTTTAGTTGTAGATGGACACAATACCTTTATTTTGTTTTTTATGTGGTGCTGAGGATCTAACCCAGGGCCTCACACATGCAAGGCAGGCACTCTACCACTGAGCCACAACCCTGGTTCCTGATTTCTTCTTCATTAACCATCTTTGGATTTGAATTTCAGCCAATACAATGAGAGGATTGATGTAAATGATTTAACCTGCTCATAATTTATCTGTTGATATAATTTCTCTGTTGAATCAATAGGCAAACATTTCTTTCTAGCCTAGTGAATTAGGAAAATAAAAGAATCCATTTTGGCATTTATAATTTTTGTTAATTACCATTTTTCCCTTTGGTGTAGTCTAAATAATGGCCCCCCTCTGCCCAAGTTTTCTGTGATGGCTTAAGCTTTTGCTTTTTTGAACTTCAGAGACACTTGTGTGGTAAATATTAAAGTTCTAAAATTCTGTGCTAATATCCTTCTCAAAGGACAGAAAGGAAATAGAAGCACTGTTTTACCTTTTTCTTTGCTTCATTACTTTGTTACTGATAGACTTCAAGAAAATTTAAGGAGTAGGTTTCAGATAAAAAGGAAATGAGCTTTGTTTGAAGTTAAGGTGAAATCCTAACTGAAGGAGACAAAATTTTTTTTCCCTTTCTTTTTTAAAAATTGTAAATGACTTTGAATGAGTTAAGAATTAATATTGAAAGGGGATTTCCTTTGAAAAGGTTCAAAATAGAATTTTTGCTATTTTTAGTTGTAGGAATTCTACACTCAAGATCAATGAAGTTTGGAAAAAGACAGTAAATGATCTAAATTTAGGACATAAAGATTGTGTAGCTTCTTAAGTGCACATACATTTTTATCTTGCAGCTACAAAGTGTGAATGAACATTAATACATAGGATATATGACTTTCCTTTTTTATATTTATTTATTAATTTTTAGTTGCAGCTGGACACATACCTTTATGCATTCGTTTGTTTGTTTATTTATTTACTTATTTAATGTGGTTCTAAGGATGGAACTCAGGGCCTTGTTTGTGCTAGGCCAGTGTTCTACTGCTGAGCCACAACCTCAGCCACATAACTTTCTTAATATTTTGTAGATTTTGAGCACAGCTGCTATAATAATGTCTCAAAGGTATTTTTCCATTTCAGTTATTGTTTCATCCTCAGTGAGACACTGGCTAAGCAGAGATGGCAGTTGGGATGTAAATCAGTAATAGAGCTCTGCAGTTAAGGGTCAGGCATGGAATGTGGTCCAAGTCAGGCTTGGGAGGTTGGATATTAGGTTTAGTAGGTTGCCCAAGAAAGTCTTTGCAGAGTCCAAAATCTATGGAAGAAGCCAAGTTCAGGAATTCTGGTGTATTTAGTTCCCAGGGCTTAGAATTTGGTTCCTGATACTTTTTTTTTTTTTTTTTTTTTGATAGTGCTTTCCTTTTGCTCTTACTTATTTTTGTACTCCTCTCCCACAATAATGGTTATTCCCTCTGATTATTTAAGGAGGAGTACTTAGCCCTATTTCAAATGGGGTTGGTGAACCAGAAGCATCAACATCACTGGGAAACTTCTGGGAAATGCAGAATCTCAAGTTCCCACCCCAGACCTACTGAATCAGAATCTTCATTTGAATTCAGTCCTTTACACATTAAAGTTTGGGAAGGTATTGCACCAAGGAAGAGGTAGGAGTAGAGCAGTGCTTGCTGACAGTAAGGAATGACAAGTGAAAAAGTTTAGAGAATGTACAACTGGAATACTAAGTAGGTTTAATTAGTGTGGGGACTGCAGTCCACAGGTAGTAGCTGTAAAGAGCACTGTAGTGAGAAGAGTTGTGAGACAGAGCCTGGATTGACTGGATCCTGGCCTCGGGCTTGGCCAGTTGAGTGGTGTATCAGCATCTCTGGTTTTGAAGGTTGTTGGATCATTGTCCCTTCTTGTCTCTCTCCTTTTTGTGTCCATCTTTAGTCCTGGTGTAGATGGATGCAGCCAAGCTTTCTTCTTTAGACATCATCTGCTATAGTGGCTAGTAAATATAAGTGAAAATTTTTACCTTTGTCATCAAGGAAATCAGCCACGTTGCCTAGAATTTCACTGTCTCCTTTTTAAAAAAGGAGCTGAAGTTATCCCTAATGATGATCTTTTAATCCCCTCTTATCTATTGCCTAGTTTTATCATTTTAGATGGTTTTACTTTGCTACTTCTCAGTTTTCTCATCTGGGGGAAAAAAAAAGAAACAGAATGTTTAACTTGATCTCTAAAGTCTCTTTCTGTTCTTAAAATTCTGTGGATTTATGTTTCCTTTTGCCATCTGAAGAAAGGCATAGATCTGTGGGATTTTACCCAATTTAAATGTTATATATAAGAAATATGAGATTTTTTTATTGATGATTTTATTTCATGGTGTTCTCTGTTCATTTCTCTGATGTAACTTTTATAGAGGTTTAAAGTAGAAAGAGAGATTTAATGATCACTTCTTTGCCTTTGGTCTTTTTCTGTTATATTCTCATCTTTGCAAAAGTAACCTCCTAAATCACTGTTTTCATTGGGTTGTTTCTCATACAAAGACTTATTTAGACTCTGGAGAATATGGTCTAGACTCTTCTTGGCAATCAAGACTTGTAAAAACTGACCCTAAGTATGGAATTTTATTTTTTTCTGTTCTCTAGTTTGAACAAATTCCCCCCCGCCCCCCCAAAACCCCTAACAGGCCAGTGGCCTTTCAATTTTATATATACTGTTTGTTTCCTAACTTAATTTCCACACAGCACTTAAAATCATCTTTAGTCTGACTTCTTTCTGAGAACACAGGTTATTATCTACTAACTAATGACTTATCTTTGTGGTCCTGTGTTTTAGGAGAATGTTTTACTTACTTTTAATGTTTTTGTCTTGTTAAATAAATTATGAACTTCTTGAGTTAGGGGCCATTCATGTTTTTTGGTGATTTATATCCTTTGTAGTTATGTTGCACATAGTGGGTGTAGAGTAATTATTTGTTGAAAGATATAGTTGAGATTTTTGTAGTCTGCTTTCTTTGCTATTGATATTGCTGAAAGGAAACCAAGTACTTCTATGGAAACTGGAAAATCCAATAATATCAGTGAATAAGAAAGTATACATAGAAGATAGGTATTTTTTTTTTCTTTTTGGTACTGGGGATTGAACTCAGGGTATTTTATCACTCAGTTACATCCCCAGTTCTTTTATTTTTTATTTGCAGACAGGGTCTCTTGCTAACTTGCTGAGGGTCTTGCTAATTGCTGAGTCTGGCCATGAAGGCATTTGGCTATATTTTCAGACAATAAATGGATGGACTATCTTTTAAAGAATTCTTTTTTTCCCCATAACTTTTCCCTTTTATTCATTTTGCCAGAATTATAAGCAGTACTTACTCTTTCTTGTTAATGTAGCAGAGGAAGTTGTATTTTTGTGTAGTAGAAAGACTGTAAGCAATAGAGTAAAGGTTTGAGTTTCTAGGATCTTCCACTATCTCTTTCTGACCATGAACAAACATTATACCATTCCCTTTTTTAATCTATAAAGTGGGGATTACGATACTAACTTCCTGAAAGTACCATATTCAGGGTGTGAGGAAGGATAAAGATGAAATAATACAATATAAGTTAAATTAGAAGAGACAATTTTTGCTATATGTCTGTATACATATACAACATTTTATCTTGATCAACATTTTTATGTTCTTAAAAAATTCCCCTTAGATTTTTAGCTTTTAGAGAGTTTTGTTTTTAAATGACATTTAGCTCAATACCTTATGAAGTGAGATATCAAATATTTTTGAAACATAAGAAGTCTAAATTAAATCAGTTTAAAGATTATTATTATCCACTCCAGTTGCCTCTATCATCAGCTTTCTCAAGTGTATTTAAAAAATAAGAAGTCTCTATTCTTTTCCCCAAACGTTACCATGTCAGATACCCTGAAATTAGCATGTAATTGCTAAGCCAAACAACAAAATAAAAACAAACACATTGAAAGCAACTAGAATTGCTGCTTTCAGAAAATGTCACAGGTGGTAGTTTTCCCAGTTGTAAATGACAGTTTATCCAGGCTGCCTTCTTCCCTAGCTTCTTTCCTCTTTTCCTCCTTCTCATTTGTGCTGTTCCTTACTCATTTCAACTAATCAAGAACTAGCAACGTGTTAGGCACTGTGAAAATGAAGATGCAGATGACATTTCCTGTTCACAGGGAGCTCTCTGTAGTTATGTAGACAGCAGCTTGAAGTATTCAAGATGGTATCAGCAATTCACTAATCATGATGCTCATGAATCAGGGGATTTTGTCTTCTGCTCACTCAGGGGTCAAAATGTCTCCTCTGTGTTCTAATAGATTTTTGGTAATAATAAGGTCCACTCTAAGGACACTCACTCTTAAGTGTCTCCTGTCATCCTTTGCAGCATCACCATTTTAATGTAAGGATGAATATAGCAAGCAGTACTTTGTGGTTGTAAACTCTAAACGGAGGTTTGCTTAGAGTTTTTCTAACCTGAATGGCTTATTTTACTCAAAGAGAAAAGTGAAAGTAATAGGTGAAAGTTAGGGTTAGGGTTATTATGTGCTGTACTGAAGTATCCCCTTTCTGTATTAACTGATCTTTTTTTGTAGCTAACAAAAAAGTATCCCCTTTCTGTATTAACTGATCTTTTTTTTTCCACATCACAGATACTAAAATATTTAAGAAATTTTTCTTTCTCCTGTCAATCATCTTTTAACCTCAGATCTAATAATTATTGCTTATATGATAGATATTCTTAATGTTTCCTCATTGTTGGTAATTTTTCTGGTTGAACTTGAATCTGCCAGTTCCTGTTAAAACACATGATGTATATTTATCAAGTACTATTAAAGGACTATATTTTCATGCTGGGAAAGAATGGTTGTATTCCTCCTTTTGTTGTTTTTTAGTTCTACTCTGCTAAATTATTGTTGATCAACCTGGATTAACCTGGGGTAAATATAAGGTTGCAATTGATTGTTAACCCAGTTCTCCAGTTGTTAAAAAGGTTTATGATAACTATATAGTCTTTTTTTTTAAACTATGCAGTCTTAAAATGAGTTAATGCTCTAGAAACTATATCAGCTCATTAATTTTCTTTTTAAAATTTTGTTTTCAGTGTTATGACTTATTTACTTGCAACTTTTTTTCTTCCTTTTTCTTTTTGATTTTCTTTATTTTTTATTTTTTTATTTTACATTACAGACAAACAGAAACTTCCTCCTTTTATCTTTCCCTTCTGATTTATGATAAATTTAGTTTCCTTTGGCCTGGCATTTGCTTCAGCAGGCAGTCTTCCTTCAAGTACCTCCCTGATTGATGTATAATCTTTGATATCTTCCATTAGCCTCCAGGATCACTAAGTTCAAGGCCCCCTTGGAACCTAAGGAGCCCTGCCGAGGAGCTGAAGGCCTTCAGAGTCCTTGGGGTGATTGACAAGGTAATTCTTCAGTGTCTCTTCAAGAGTTCAGTCATAAATCGACTGCATGCTGACATTCTGTCTTTGAAGCTTTGGATCTTAAGGATATGAAACAAAAGGAGAAAATGACTCAAATGCATCTGCACTTTAAAATAACAAAAGCAGAAGAGAAAAAGCTTTAATCTAAGCAATTCATGTAAGGTCATGCAAAATATATTTGAGCAAATAGGAGAAGTGCATATTTGTTGCATTCACTTGAGTAAGGGTTTTTATTTTCTCAAACTATTATAGCAGGAAGATGTACTTTGTGTTAGTTAAACTTGCAAGTCAGTAGTTTTTCAACATGAATCAGTATACTCTTTCAAATGGACAAAAAGAAAAGTGACATTCCTGAATAACCATCATTTATTGAGCACCTACTATATGTCAGACCATATGCATTTTTACATAAGATGATGTACTTAATCCTTCTTAAAATCCTATTATTTGTGTTTTGGTGGAAATTGACATTAGGACATAATAAGTAACTTGCCCAGAGGTTACATAGCTAATTTAGGGGAATGCTAAGATCCTAACCTCTATATTCTGTTGAGTACCAAAACTGCTTTCCCAGTATACTAAATCCCTTATACACACCCACATGTGCAGCTACACATTCACACACATTTTTATATTTAGAATAAAAATACTGAACTAACACATGCAAGTTTTGTGACAACTCAGATATGTGAAATATTAATAATGGGTCTGTCAAATAGTTTATAAGTATAATTTAAAGACTATAGACAATAAGCAGTCTTTAAAATATATTTGACCATCAAAGTAAAAAAAAAATGCCTTATTTAACATTAAGGTATAAATTAATCTATATCTTTTTCACTGCTGAGCATCTTTTCTGAAGTATCTTTGTGTTCATTTGTAACTTAATGTTCAAGTACTTCTGTGTTCTAAAGTGTACATGTGATGCCATGTTAAAGTTGAACAATATACATATAATATATCTTAAGCAATTTAGATAATAATTAATAGTTTGTATAATTCCAAAGGAAACATTAAGTCAGATATTTAATAAAACTGAGTGTTTTATTCTTATAAGGATCATTTTTCTCAAAGAAGTTTATATGCCTGAAGTTTGAACTTAGAGAATTCCAAGTAGTAGGACTTCTCCTTTCCTTTCTTTTTGTTTAAGAGTCTGAAATATTCCTTTAACCATGTTTTCTCTAGCCTTTTTAGTTTGGAGGATGTTCTGTTTGAGAGTAGATGGAAAAAATAGTAATTGACTAGTTGCTAGGTTCTTGGATGTATGTGCAGACAAGTCTACTTTCTTGCTGTGCAGTGGCTGCCCCCTCAATTGGATTTGTTCCTTTTGACACAGTGACCTTTCATTGCTTTGCTGTAAGCTTCAAGTCCTCCTGAAGTTCTGCTAATAGCTGTGAGTCTCACAGGTTTGCCCAAGGACTCGACAGTGGAGGAATTCCTAAGTTCTATGCAGTAGCATAATTTGTTACTGTCTTTACCTTGTTCACCTGGGCATTGTTTTTGGTGTTTGACAGGTGACGTTTTCTAAGGGGAGATAAAGAAATTTGTGTCTTTGCAAATAATCTTAAAATTTACAACACAGTGTTTACTTGTAAAAATATGAGTAGATAGATTTTTTAAAAATTGAGTTATTATTCAAGGTAAATTTCTCCCTATTATACTGAGGAATACCTTAGATTGTGGTTTTAGAAGCTTGAAGTTTATAAGAGAAGTGCTGAATAAATTTAGAAGGCTAGAAAGTGCACAGGATACATAAATCTAGCTTCCACAGAGCATAATTTCTCTCATTCTGTTTCATATAGTACTTGCTTTTTATGAGTTATTTTGACTTAGGAAAATGCAGTTCTCCATTAAACTGTATTAGGAATAGGATTTTACAGACTTTCATCAAGAAAGTAAATAAGCAGACTTATTCATTAATATCTAGACCATAAGTTCCATTAGAAAAAGATTGTGTTTTCTTGTTCTCCTCTATATCCTCAGTATCTGGAATCATACGTGGCACATAATAGTCACTCCATAAATATTTGTTGAACGAGTGCATCAAAATTGAAACAATTTAAAATATATGTAGAGTGACACCTACTGGTATAATGTGAGAGTGCTACCTAGTACCAGTCTATAAGCTGACTGCTCAGTAGGTGTCTTACCCAGGGGGACAGAGTTCCATAGCTGTATGTTGGTTTAGTATTCAAAGAGAAGTCCGTGGTTTTCTGTTCCGTAATTAGGATCATAAAACACCTCATTAACATAGTTAGTGACGAGGAAGTTAAGCATTGTGGGTCTTGGAATGTAAATAAGCTCCTGTGCATTCAGTTGTAAGAATGATTGGGCTAGTGAAAGCCTTCAAAATCATATCACAGGAACAACAGCTGAAAAACAGGAGGAGATTTAACCAGATAAAAACATGTATGATATTTAAAAATTTGAAGGCTTTCCTGGATAGGGGAACTCCGTCATGCTTTGTTTAAGCTTTGAGAGGGTGAAAGGGAATATTAATTATGTGGGAGCAACAGGTGCAAGCGAGGAGTGTCTCAGGCCAACAGGGGAGAAGTTTGCTTGTTAAAATCCTCCACGAGACGAGAGTCAAGGAGTTACAAGCACCAGAAAAACAAATTTGGCTCATGATTAGAAATACCTTTTAAGAATTAGTATCTTGACTGAAGGCAGACTGGATTCCTTTAGGTTTTATGGGGTTCCTATTGTTAGATTCAAGTAAGGGCTGAAGAATCTGGTGGGGATGTTGTAGAGGATATTTAAGCATTGGATGGATTTTTACCCTAAATAACTTTTAAAGATTTCTTTTAGCCCTTAGATTCATTTATAGATGCTCTTCATTGTAACAATACCCAGGGAAAATAGAAAGACTTTGGTAGGATGAAGAAGAGGGATTACTTTTATTTTCGTGTAAGTTTTGGCATGTTTAGATGTAGTCATTTGTAGGGTATGTGAGAAACAGGGTGGGGGAGGGAGTGAGCATGTGACCACATGCATGCAAACGTGAGGAAAGAGATTAATATATGGGACGTGTGTATGTTTGTATTGTATAAGAATTGTGTAAATATAGATAATTTGCACTTGAGTTAAAAGTCTGGTTTGGTAATTTGACTAGTAGTATGATGCTCAAAAGCTGAGAGTGTTTCTGACAAAGTTCGTTATTGTATAACCTATCTATAAAAAGGATAAAGGAGCCCATAGTCCAGTTAACAGTAATGTATCAATGTCACTCTCCTGGTTTTTATATTGTATTATAGATAGAGAAGATGTCCCCATTGGGAAAAGCTGGGCAGAGGGTAAATGGGACTCTTTGTCCTATTGTTGCAACTTCTTGTAAGTTAAAAGACGCTTTAAAAAAAAAAAAAAAAAAAGGCTAAGGGAAACTCTTGACTTGAACATCAGGGTAGTAGTACCAAGATTTGTCCCCTTATGGCTTGTTAATGCTTCTGTTTTAGGGGTTGCCAGAATATGAGTGTGTGTATAGTGTTCACATGGAAGACCATGAAGAATTTATGATTGGATTGTCCAAATTCATTGCTACTCTGTGAAAACAATTTAAACAGGATGTTTTGCAAATCATTTTAAAAAGAGATGTCACTTGGTAAACCCATCAGTATTTATTAGGTGAAGTGCCTTGGCATTTTGTAATCAGGATGGCTTTTCAACTTCATCTGTTAGGCAGAATTTTTAGATTGATGTGCCACTGGAAAATATGATTGAGAAATCATAAAATATGACTGAGAAAATTTGTGGAGATTGTTCAAACTGAATAGATGTTGAAATATTGATACTTCCTTTTTTAAAGGTTCCTAAATAATACCTTCTTTGATAATATATGCCCTCACTGGGAACTCAGATGCATCAATATTTGGATAGTTGCTTATTGAAGGAACATGGGGTTGAACTGGATTAACCCTAAAGGGTTCCTATTTGTATTTCATCTAAACATTGTGGCTAAAATATTACCTATTATCTTTAATCATAATCACATATGTTGGACTTTCTTTTCTATATTCACCCTGCTAAGTACAGCTACAAGCTTTGGATATGGTATAGAAAAACAACCATAAGAAAACTGAAAAGTGGAGAGAGGAAGGAAGATTGGCTAGTAACCCAAACTACATGGTGAGGAGTTTCCTTTTTTTTTTTTTTTTTAATTTTTTCTTCATACATTCCAGATAGGATATTGGAGAAATGGTCAACTTGGAAAAGCCAACAGGTGCAGACAAAACATAACAAAACAAAACACCCTAACAAAAGTCTGTTCTTTCTAGCCAAAGCTTAGCAAGACAGAAATCTTTTACTGAAACAATAAACAATAACTGCTCTATTCTAGACCAGTACCACATAAAAACTGTGGCTGTATTTCCACTTCTAACAAAGGCCAAGTGGAACTGCTAGACTTCACTCTCTGCCAGGATATAACAAGTTGCCCCAACCCCTTTGCTTTGGCAGTGTTAGAGGGAGCCTAGTGGAGATTCAGGACTCTCACCGTTGCCCAGTGGCAGTGAAGCCACTTGCACTTAGTTTCATTGGAGGCCATATGAGGAGCAGTAACAAGACAACTCTATCCTTTCCAGACAAGGTTTTATCAGTAAAGGCCTGAACCCCTGTCCTTACCCAGCAGTAACCAGGAGTCTCACTTTCCTCTTTCCCATATCTGTGAAGGCTGAATGGGGAACCTGAACTTCCATTCCTGCCTAGAGTAATGAGTTTTTTATCCCTTTCTTTCATCAGCACTGAAGACAGAGTCTTGTTAAGTTGCTCAGGGTGTGCTACCACTCCTGGCTTAAATAAGATCTTGAATCTAATAACATAATGCCAAAATGTCCAGGTTTCCGTTAAAAGTCCCTTGTCATACAAGAACTAGGACTGTCTTAACATGAATGAGAAAGGTAATCAACAGATACAAACATTGAAATGACAGATTTTAGAATTATTATGTTATATATCAACATAAAAGTGCTTCACTGAATGATTACAAA